TTTCCGCGGTCGCTCAGTCGACCGAAAGGCAAAGGGGAAGCACAAACAGCTAGTCTTGAGATCGTCCAGGGTCGAGCGTCGTGCTGGAGGGGCTCTCTCGGCGGTGGGGGCCGGAGCGTCTCTCCCTGGGCCCCATCGGACCTCGGGGCGGCTGCCGAGCGACCGCGGATGCTGTGCCTGTAGCTTGATCATCGACCTCCCGCGGCCCGAACAGATGCAAACCCAGCCATCCGAGGTCTCGATTTTTTCGAGACGCGGACCCCCGACCCGACCGACCACTTCCCTGGGACCGGTTACTCATCCCGAGTCGTTGTTTGACGGTCCCGAGGCCCGGCGAGGGCCCCGAGAGGCCAAGAACGACGAACAATTTCCGTCCCGATTTTTTCGAGACGCCCGATGTCTGGGAAAGGGCCTCCGCCGGGGGGCGCTCTCTTCCCCAGCCCAGGCGCGGGCACCTGGCCGCGCTGCCGCGCAGGCCCGCACACGGCACCCCCGAGGGCGAGGCGGGGCAAGGGTGGCCCTGCACGAGGGCGCCCCCCTCCCCTTCATCCCCGTGCTCCTCCTCCCTCCTCCCCCGACTCCTCCCACAGCCCCCTCCTCCCACAGCCCCCTCCTCCCTCCTCTTCCTCCCCCCTCCCCGCCCTCCCTCCTCCTCCTCCCGGGCGGGCCCAGGACGGGACGCGCCGGAGAGCGCTCCAGATCGCTCTCGGAGCGCTCTGGAGCGCTCTGGGGCGCCCGCGGTGCCGCAGCACATCTCCCGGGACCGTCGGATCTCAGAGATCTCCGATTTGTCTCGGTCCGGTGTTGTCCCGGTCCTGGCCTCGTCGTATTCTTCTCCCTTCCTCCTCCTCCTCCGCCTCCTCGCCGTAATTAGCCTCGGAAAGGCTCTCCCGCCTTCGGAGGGAGGCCGATCTGAGAAGAGTCCAAGGAGGACGGGTCCCTTGCCTGCCTCTCAAAGCCGGCAGGGCGTTTATTTTCTGCTGCCTGCCGCCCCTTCTCCCCCAGTTCTGAGCTTTCGTTTTTGTCTCAACCATCATGTGGTGTTGGGTCTTCGATTCAAAGAGAGCGCACCGCTTTCCTCACATCCTCCTCCCCCCCTCATCGGCCTCTGCTTTCCACAGGTCAACCAGTTCGACACACCCCTCATACAATTCGTGGCCCTTTGGGGAGCCCCAGCGAAGGCCCCGGTGGCACAGTCTGTATGGCGTACCCGCGCCCGATTTTGCACAGCCCTCACACGTTTCGTGGCCCCATAGGGAGCTCCACCGAAGGTCCCAGCGGCACAGTCCGCATGGCGTACTCGCACCCTATTCGGCACGATCCTCACACGGTTCGTGGCCCCACAGGCAGCTCCACCGAAGGCCCCCCCCGTGTCACAGTCCGCATGGCACACCCGCACCGATCCGACACACCCCTCACACGTTTCGTTGCCGCAAAGAGTGTTCCACCGAAGGCCCCAGTGGCACAGTCCGCATGGTACACCCGCACCCGTTTCAGCACACTCCTCACACGCTTCGTGGTTCTATAGGAAGCTTCGACGAAGGCCCCAACGGCACAGTCCGCATGGCGTACCCGCACCCGATTCGGCACACCCCTCACACACACGCTTCGGCGCCTCACAGGCAGCTCCACCGAAAGCCCGGGTGGCACAGTCCGCATGGCGTACCCGCGCCCGATGTTGTACAGCCCTCACACGCTTCGTGGCTCCATAGGGAGCTCCACCGAAGGTCTCAGCGGCACAGTCCGCATGGCCCACTCGCACCCTATTCGCCACGACCCTCACATGATTCGTGGCCTTACCGGCAGCTCCACCGAAGACCCCAGCGAGACAGTCGCATGGCGTACCCGCACCCGATCCGGCGCACACATCACACGTTTCGTGGTTCTATAGGGAGCCCCAGCGAAGGCCCCAGCGGCACAGTCCGCATGGCGTAACCGCACCCGATTCGGCGCACACCTCACACGCTTCGGTGCTACGCAGGGGGCCCCAGCGAAGGCCCGCGTGGTACAGTCCGCATGGCGCACCCGCACCCGATCCGGCACACCCCTCGCGCGTTTCGTGGCCCCAAAGAGTGTTCCACCAAAGGCCCCAGCGGTACAGTCCGCATGGCGCACTCGCACCCGATCCGACACACCCCTCACACGTTTCGTGGCCCTAGAGTGGGGTTAACCTAAGGCCCCAGTAGCAGCGCCCACTTGGAGTACCCGCGCCCGTTGTTGTACACCCCTTCACACGCTTCGTGGCCCCTTAAGGAGTTCCACCGGAGGCCGTACACACAACGGCGGTACTCACAACTGCATTTGTCTGGGTCTTTCGCCAGGAAAAGTTGTTCCCCACATACAAAGTGGGATTCTTGTTTTCTCTGCACAGACACACACACACACACACCGCAGGATTTTTCCTGACACCTCTCTCCCGCACCATCACCCCACATCATCATCGTCATCATCACCAATCCATCATCGGCAATCATCATTACCATAATCCCATCGTTACCACCGACCATCATCATCGTTATCATCATCATCACCATCATCCTCAGCAGCAGCCGCAGCATCATCGTCATCATCAGCATCATCAGCATCGTCATCACCTTCCAGGTTCTCGCACTCACCATCACCACACCATCATCACTCCTCGTCATTGCCAGCATCACTCACAGCAGCGTCATCACCATCAGCATCATCATGAGCAGCAGCAACAGCAGCATCATCCTCACACACATACGCACCAGCACACACACATACACTCATCTTAGGAAGTCCCTTGCGGGAGCCTCGTCTGTGAGGGGATTTCGAAGAGGTATCGAGCGGGAGCCCCCTCCCTGCGGGGCCCGCACATTATGTTATTAATCCGAGGCGGCCATCGGCGAGCCCTGTGAAAACGCATGTGTGGTGACACCTGGGAGCCTGAATCCCTAGGAAGACTCGCGCGAGAGCCTCGTCTCTGAGTAAAGTGTGAGGAAGTCTCGAGCGGGAGACCTTCCCTGTGGGGCCCGGCATAGTAGGGATGAGCGGCTTTCCAAGGTTACCCTTGCACCCTTGCCTTTTCGGCCCATCCTTACCGACGCTCGAGGGCCAACCTCGTTCGAAAGACGTTCAGTCGGCCTTCCAAGGCCTATGTAGCATTATCGCACATTCTTGTCATACCGGATGATATTCTAAGAAACGCAGGTTTAATCACTTTTGGGTGCCCGAGTCGAGAGGCAATCTCGAGCGGGAGCCTCGCCTGTGAGCGGACTGCGAAAACGTCTCGAGCGGGAATTCCGCCCTTGTGGGGCCCGCACTTCATGCTACTAATCCTAGTAGGCCGTGGGCAAATCCCTTCTTGTTTTGTAAAACTCTCTCTCTCTATATATATATATGTATAACAGGTTTGATGACACCTGGGAGTCTGAATCTTGAGAACATCTCGAGCAGGAACCTCATCAGTGAGTGGAATGCAAAGAAGTCTCGAGGAGGAGCCCCATCCCTATGTGGCCCGCACATCATGTTATTAATCCGGGGCGGCCATCGGCAAACCCTTTGAAGAACACAGAACACAGGTTTGGTGACACCTCGGAGCCTGAATCCTTAGGAAGTCTCGAGCGAGAGTCTCGTCTTCGAGTGGATTGCAAAGAATTCTCGAGCGGGAGCCCCTCCCCACGGGGTCCCCATTCCCATTTTCGAATCCGAGCGGGTCATCCAAACCATGTAATTGTCTTCATTGTTGGGTTCTTCAGGCCAGAACATGGAGGAAGTCTGGAGCGGGAGCCTCGTCTGTGAGCAAATCGCGAGGAGGTCTCGAGCGGGAGCCTTCGGAATGCTTCGGACGGCAACAAGAAATTCCAGGAAGCTTCAGAACCCCAGGACGCGGGAAATACCAGAAGCCAGGAGGCCCCATAGCAACCAGGAGGCCTTAGGATCCCTCAGGAGGCCACAGGAGGCCCCGTGAGGTCCCAGGAGTACCCCGTGGTCCTGGGAGGCCCCTGGAGGCTCTGGAAGACTCCAGAAGGCCCCAGGATGTTCCAGGAGGCAACAGAACCCAGGAGGCCCCAGGAGGAGGCAGCAGGCCTAAGGAGGAGGCAGGGGGAGGAGAAGGAGGAGGCGCAGGAGGAGGAGGACGAGGAGGAGGACGAGGAGGAGGACGAGGAGGAGGACGAGGAGGAGGAGGAGGAGGAGGACGAGGAGGAGGAGGACGAGGAGGAGGAGGAGGAGGAGAAGGAGAAGGGGGGGGAGGAGGAGGGGGAGGAGGAGGAGGAGGAGGAGGAGGAGGAGCAGGAGGAGAAAGAGGAGGAGGAGGAGGAGGAGGAGGACCCAGGGAAGAGGGGGAGGAAGAGGAGGAGGAGGAGGAGGAGGACAGAGGAGGAAGAGGAGGAGGAGGAGGTGGAGGAGGAATGAGAAGATGGGGGGAGGAGGAGGAGGAGGAGGGGTGGAGGGGAGGAGGAGGAGGAGGAGGAGGAGGAGGAGGAGGAGGAGAGGAGGAGGACGACGACGAGGACGAGGACGAGGAGGAGGAGGAGGAGGAGGAGGAGGAGGAGAGGGGGAGGAGGAGGAGGAGGAGGAGGGAGGAGAGGAGGAGGAGGAGGAGGAGGAGGAGGAGGAGGAGGTCCCAGGGAAGCCCCAGAAGGTTGCAGGGGGCCCCAGAAGGCTCCAGGAGGTTCCCGGAGGCTCCAGGAGGATCCAGGAGGCCCCAGGAGAACGCAGGAGGCCCATGGAGGAGGCGGGAGGAGAAAGGACAGAGTAGGAAGAGGAGGAGAGAAGGAGGAGGAGGAGGAGGAGGAGGACGGAGGACGTTGCCCAAGGAGGATGCAGGACAGAGGAGGAGGAGCAGCAGCAGAAGCAGCAGCAGCAGCAGCAGGAGGAAGGATGCCCCGAGAGACCCCAGGAGGCCGCAGGAGGCACCAGTTGGGTTCAAGGGGCCCCAGGAGGCCGCAAGAGGAGCGGAACATCCGATTGTGGGGCGTTGGCCCGAAGGCGCTTCACGGTGCAGCCACAGCTGAGGCCGAAGCCAAAGTTGA